TGAATGGACAACAAAAAATAATATTAAGAATCATTTAGTAATTAAAAAATTAAATGTTCCTAAATAATAAGTTTTAATTTTTGAAGATAATAATAATTTATTTTATCAATATCATGTTATTATAATTTTTTGTTTATTAGTTTATTTAAAGAAAGCTATTATATCTTTAAAATATGTAGATACAATTATAATTAAGAATAAACATTTAATTTAGTCTTTGAAAGATGATAGAGGTAGTTAATAAGTTTTTGAAAGATATTTATGGCATTGGACTCCTAAATTTTAACTTTGTTATGTAAGTTAGTCTTTTAATCATATTGCTTAAGTTAGTTGCATGACCAATTAACAATTAATTTTCATATTGATACATATTCTGTCTCAAAATTAGCATAGATGATCATTATCACTAAACTCTTTCTTACTTCTATTAGAAAAGTTTTGTGATTCTTTAAATATTGTAGAAATATTCATATTCAATTGATGCATTCTTACTTAAAATCTTTCAAAATGACATGTCATTTTACTAAATTTTAAATTCAATAATCTAGGGGTTACAATCTTAAACCTATAGCCAAATCGATACTTAATTACTAACCATTCAAAAAAAACTAAAGTTATTAACTCAATATAAGGAAAGATCAATGGAATTAAAATTTAGAGACTTAAAAAATAATTCAGGACCTATTAGAGATATTTATCATCTTTTAAAGATCAAATTGGATGTTTACTATATAATTAACGTTTGACTCATGATATATACATTTTTTTTTGTAAGTATAGCTCTTTTTAAAAATAAAAATAAAAACTAAAATATCCTTAATTTTTTTTAATTCTCTAATATTTTAATTTTATATTTCTAACTTTCAATTTAACACTTTTTACTTATTTTCACATACTTCCTTCCCTCCCCTTTTATTTTTTACTTGCACCTCTTATCTTCCCTCCATTCCATCTATTTCAGTAAACATTTTTAATTCTTTTAATTTTTAGATTATTTTCTTCCTCCTCTGCATTTAGTTTTCACATTGTTATCCCCTTTCTCATTTCTTTCAATTTTCACACATAATATAGAATTGGTGCACAACAACATTGTAAGCGCATGTGGCTTCCTCGACTGTTTTGAAGGAGTCAAGCTAGAAACATGTTTTTTCTTCGAGCACTTCCTTCCTTCTCACACTTCTAGAAAGCACAACATCAAGTTTAATGTTTCAAAAAATAATTTTCAAAAATATTAATTTTAGTGTTCTAGAAAGTACTTTTCAAAATAGTGAAATTAATGTTTCAAAAATTATTTTTTGAATTGTGTTTTTTATATAGTTTTAAAAAATACTTTCCGAAACACTACATTTATGTTTTGGAAAGAGCTTTTCAAAATTACGTAAAATAACACATTAAAAGTATTTTCTAAGACTAATTTTACTATTTCAGAAGTTATATATATGTTTCGATACCTTCAACACTTTCGAGGAAATCGCACGTACTTACAACATCGTCGCAGACCAATTATATAATCCAACTGTGTGTGAAAATTGAAAGAGAGGAAAAAGAATAATGTGATAATCGAAAAAATTAGAACTACTTACTAAGACAAGAAAAATCAAATGAATGCATAAAAAATTGAAAGGGAGAATGAGGAATGTGTGTGAAAAAAAAAAAGAGAAAATGCCAAATTAAGCATTAGATATGTAAAATTAAAAAAAAAATTAAAAAATTAAATTAAAAAAAAAGAAGGTGGTATATATAGCCTTAACGTTTTTCTTTATACCTTTTCTGGTTGCGCAATGCGCATAGCAAATTAACAATTATTTCTTCGGTAAAAAGAAAATAGCTATGATCGTCAGAAAATGAACACACACACACATTCTGGCACACAGCTTGTTGGGCTTCATTTGGGCTTAGCAACCTGAGTCCTGGCCATCTGACAAGGTCACCTGATATTTATGGCGATTTCATTCTTGTAAACTTTTTTCATTTTTAAGCACATCCTTCCTCCTCCTCTTTTTTTTTTTTTTTTCTTTCTAAATTGTATTTTTGTCCCCAATAATATTAAATTTTTAATTTTGATCCTCCATTTTTAATTTTGCAATTATAGTTACCTAATTTTATAAAATTCAAAATTGATTCTATCGTTCAATGTTCATTCAAATGATCATTAAAATTGCATTGTTAGTGATGATGTAACATTAAGTAAATTATATAACAATTATTATTTAATAATATTTAGATTAAAATTCACTTTTGGTATTATAAAGAGATTAAAAGTATAGTTTGACATTTTTATTTTTATCATTCTTTAATAATATCTGATATGAAATGAGACACTTTGTGTCTTTCTATTGTCTTAAAAAATAAAATAAAATAAAAAAGAGGTGATGAAATGAGAGAATGTAAAAATAACTTTACAATAATGGGGGTAACTATGTATATTAGTTGAGAGATAAAATGATTAAAAAAATGTGGACACCAAAAAATAATGTATAGCATTTATTAATCGTTATAAATTCAATTTTGGCATTCTAAAAATTAATTTCAAACTTTAACTTTTAATAGTGAAAAAATCATCACTTGAAGTTTGTTTCAAGATTTCATATTATATTTCTAGGAATCACATTAGCATAAATATTTTAATTAGAATGTTATTCTCGTATATATTTAAGAAATTTATTTGATTATACTCTAATTTTCTTAAAATTATTTTTAAAATTATAAAATAACTTAAATAAAATAATTATTAAAAAATTTATAATTGTGTTAAAAAGTAACTTCTATAATTCTGGTGAGAATAAAAATTCTCTTTGAAACATGAGGATGTATTTTTCCTAATTATAAAAGATACCCAGAATTTTATTATATAACTTTCTAACAAACATGGGAATAAATATTTTCAATCTCATATTCTTAATAATAGAAGAAGATGACATTAATCGTTCCCTTTAGTCTAAAACCCAAAAATATAAATATGTATGGAAAAAAAAACCTATATTTATAAATATTTATAGATAAAATTTGTAAAAAATAAAAAATAAAGAGTTAAATGAGACAAATAATTAAGTGAATATATAATCAAGTCTCTTGGTCCAATAATTGTAAGACCTATCCTAGAATATATATGGGGAATCATTGGTGCTCGTAGGTTCAATTTTTGCTTGTGTTAAAGTAATATTTGGCTAGTAGAAACCTTAGAGTATAGATTAATTCTTAATTGTCAACTTTGAAATTGGACTATATTCATGGACTAAAAGAAAAATTAAGTAAATATATTCATAATTAAGATTTATTTATTTTATTTTATTATCTTATAAATGTTTGTTAAAAAGTTTATCTAAACATGCTATTCCGTATAACCCTCCACAAATTTGGTCCCTCAAATTAACATTATTAGTCAATTTCTTATTCCCTCTTTTCCTTTTTATTTGTCAACTTTTTGGTAAAATTTTGTTTTTATTTATTTTTTATTTTTTAAATTTAAAGACAATATAAATTGCTATATTATTAGTTATACCATTACATTTTATCTAACTCTTAATTAATTTATATATAACAACTAATATGTATTTATTATGAAGTAAAAATAAAAGAAGGTATAATAAGAAATATTAAAATATTCTATAAAAAATTATTGCATTTTTTAATGTGTATAAAACAATTTTAAATGATTATTATAAACTATAAAGGATCGAGATAATATTTAAAATTATCAAATCAGTCAATTTAAACCTTAATTTCAACAATTTTCACTCAAGTTTTCTCTTGATAAAACTGATTATCTATTCTAATGTTAAGACCAAATTTATAGATAATTTTCATCGTTAAGGATTAAATTTTCAATCAAATATTTTTAATGTCGAAGGCTAATTGATTATAGTACATGGTTTCAATTTTGATGATCAAATTGATGTTATTTTTTTCAATGTCAACTAACCGTCAACCTAAGAGAATAAAATATTGATTTACTTTTGAAGTTTTGACTTTTGACTATACTCCTCTTGTCACTGCTCGTAGGGATCATGGGGAACAAAAGAAAGCGCTAAATTTTCAGTGTTGATTTTGCAGGGGTTCTGCCTTTGCAGCATTTTTCATTGGTACCACTGATCTTTCTTATCAGGGTTGACTTCCAAACAGTATAAGCTAATGAATTGTTGTAAATAATAATAATAATAATAATAATAATAATAATAATAATAATAATAATAATACATGACAGAATATTAATATTATGGGAAAATGGTATAAGTTTAAATACTAATATGACCTTAAGGTCTACTTTGATTTTGATGAGTTTTTTCAAAACTTAACTCACCTAAACTTTTACCATACAAAAAAGAAAAAAGAAAAATTGGTATTGATGATGCAAGATTGATATTTTCTTAGTTCTTTTTATAATTCTTGATTAATTGATTTATCAAAATTAAGAAAAATAATTAATTTAGTTATTCCCCATGTCTCATAATAAGTGTTATTTTAAGTTGTATTATACATAATAAAGACTAATAAAGAGATAAAAGAGAATAATAATTTTATATAATTAACTTTATAATTAATCTTCTTTATTAGTAACGATGTAATACAATAATCACTTTTTTTTTATGGATAATATATATATATATATATATAATTCTATTAATTTCTTATATTATTAATATATTTATTGTCTTATTTTTGTTAGTCGTGATGTGAAGGGGGCAAAGTAAGATTTTTAAAATTCTCACCATATAAGGCAAGATTATACTTACAAATAGCCAAAACATTAATGTATCGTACCTATTATTTATTCAACATAGAAAAAAAAATACTCATAAATTAATAAAGGTAATTTTGTAAACAAATAATTAATGTAAGAGTTATTTTTAGATTAATTCTTATAAAATACAAAATCAGATTATTGATTGCAATAATATTTTTCATCAAGGCATGTTACTGACTAACATGGCCATATCTCACGTTCATATACAACTACTGTGTATAAAATAGATTCATCTGAAGTAGCCTTTTGAGTATAGCTGATATTAGTTTAATAGCTCCATTGATTATATGTGGAAGAGAAGTTCTAAATGGAAGTAGACAATCTAATAATTTATTGATCTCTGCTAATACTGTAAATAACCTGCCATGTCTACAAGAACCTATAAATCTTTTGGTTCTATCATTTTCTCATGCTTTATGATCTACTAAGGGGGGATACACTTATGAAAGTTGGTACAAATTTTAATGGCGAGAATTCACAAGACAAATATGCCATGTTGACTCTGCCTCCTTGTGGTCTCGCAAAAGCAGCAGTGAATTCTAGCGTATCACATAAAGAATGAGTGCCCCTTGTTTATCATCTACATGTAATTTTCTACATGAAGTGAAGCCCACAAGCCAAACAAGGTAAATAGAAGCAGTTCAGAATGTAAAGCAGATGTGGCTATGTTGGGGCTTCCTGTTGGTCCTGAACCATAGACTGATGCTCCACCAGGAATTGTTGTCATACCTGGTGCAGATGGGGTCATAATACCTGGTGTAGCTGGGATCATGGTACTTGGTGGAGTTGGGGTCATGGTACTTGTTGGAGTCGGTGGAGTTGGGGGGCTTACATAAGTTGGAGGACTCATGCTGCATGAACAAGACATATATTACAATTTGTGGAAAAAAAAGGTTATATACTTATATTGTAAAGTAATTTTATATTATTATCCAATCATATATCATTATACGGTATATTTATTAACTTTTACAATAACTATCTTATAAATCATGTTGATGATCACTTCTAAGTGATTGATAGTATAAAACCTTTTACATTACCAGTGTATGATCGTTAAATCTTTAGAAATTTGGAATGTGGAAGATTATATATCATGTTTTATTCATAATAGGGTGAATAAGAAATAGATTCAAGAAATTCTCACCTTGGTGTTTTGGAGGATGTATAGCGGCAGTTCCCATTGCCTGAAATGATGCAGAGATGTGCATGTTAATAACAGACATGACATACAGGGATTTTGTGATTGTGACATTATAATCCCAATCAAAAACTGAAATAAAGTAAACGAAGTCCATAATTCCTGGAGTTATAAACTATGGCATTAATGGAATGAGTTAATTTGGTTTGAGACAGTATGCTAAGTACAGAACTGAGTTTTTCAGAATGTTCATCAGTTACTGACAAAGGGATTCAGTGAAAGACCTTGATAAGCCAATGAAATAAATATTTCTATGAGTAGCAATCTTGCTTCTCTAAATCTATCTATCATCTGTCATTTCTTCCTGTTTTCTGTTACTGTAATTAGAGCATTATTGGTCAATACTTTGCCTATAATTCCAGTGTTAATACTAGGATCTATCAGTTTTCCACCTTGTAGTTTGACCTTATTTTAACGTGTCATTTTGGGGTTGGAACTTCGTTACTATTCTCTATTGAGGTTTTCTTTCACAGGTTATTTCTGCTTAGAATGGATAGAGAAAAGATGGTTTGGTTATATGACCACAAAACAAACTTCAATGGGCAAAGTAACGAATTTCAAACCGCAAGGAATCAATTGAAATCAGGTCAAATTACATGATGGGACACTAAATCTAACCCATAAAATTCTACGAAATGACGTCAAGATCTATGCCTTGAAGCTATGTTGCACTCATCCAAGTATTAGTTCCTGACTAGGTGGGATACATTAATTTTAGTGTTAAGATATATATGGAAATTTATCACTTATGAGACTGCTAGCATGAAAAATGTACACTTGGTATGGCAACATGAGAATGCAAAAATAACTTCTTGACTATTCATAACTTGTAGCTTTGAAGACATTCAATTCAAAGTTTCACTTATCTATTTACAAGACACACCAACATGTTATATTCATTTCCTTATTTTTATTGTGCTCAATGATCATGAGGCTATAATGTTTGATGAAAAGTCTTACTGGGATCCTTGTTTGTAAGTGTTGCAGTTCCTCCAAATGCACAGCTTGTAGGAGCTGGATTCTTCTGGTAGTAGTCATTGAATGCATAAGAAGCATGGTCTTTCAGAGTATTTGGGTTGTAACAATTTGCTCCAGGTTGAATTGCTGAACAGTCTGCACCATAGCCACAGGCATAGTCAAGAGCCACCTTCAGAGTGCTCTCAGCAGCTGATTGGCTTGCAACACACCATTGACCACCTCCTGATGCTGTAGTAGGTGTGGTTGGTGTTGTGGGTGTAGTAGTAGTTGGGCTAGTTGGAGTTGTAGGGTTTGCGTATGGGTTTGTAGTTGGGCTTGTTTTTGGGCTTGTAGGGCTTGTGGGGTTTGTGGGGGTCATGTATGGGGTTGTGGGGGTTGATGGGGTTTGTCCTATTGTGTTAGGTGCTTGAGGAGTTGTAGGGTTTAAAGTAGGATATGGATTTGCTGTGCCTGGAGTTGTTGGGTTCACTATAGGAACTGCATCCAACTTGGTATCAAAGTCGTATGAGATTTCTTGGTTCTCTTCTTCTCTGAATGTTATGTCTCTACTAAGACCTGTAAAAGAAATCAAGGATCTTTCAACTCTTCAGCAGGGGAAACTAAAAGAAATAGCTGAAATTTAACTAGTAAACCTAAATAAATTAATCCAAAGTGTATCAATGACTACTTAGAATACTATATAACATGTATTTAAGTTTCTTGATTAATGAGAAAAAAAAACTAATAATTCTGAATTATATATTTAAAGATTAACTATAAACTATGTGGTTCAGAACCACTTATAATTTCTTCATTTGAGGGAGAAAACTTTCCCGGTCCCTATTTTTTCCGTTCTTTAGGAGAATCAAGCTTCTTCTCATTTGGATCAACACGCGTTGGTAGCTAGCTACCTTAAGTTATGTTCATGCAAATTCAACATTCTCATATTCATTGCTATTGAACCTTCAAATATATGAGCCTATGATTGCTAAATAGAAAAATATCTTGAGTCATTCCTGAATATTAACTTCAATCATTTTGCCTATTGATTAATTCTGTCTGCAGCTTTTCATGGCTTCAATATTATATTTTCCTAATTAAAACATTGCTACTTTATTAATGGTCAGCTTTGAGGCTATATGTAACCTTTTTATGCCAAGCAATACAATACATGTAATGTAACTAAAAATAATATTACATATGCATACATTCATATATACCTGTGTTTTGGGTGAAAGGACCAAAATTCCAACAAAAAATGAAGTTACCTGAACTGAAGAAAAGACACATAGAGAACAACACAAGGTGCCAACTTCTAATTCCCATATCTGCAGGTTGTCTTGATTCTGATTTTTCTTTCTGGGTTAGGACTAAGGATCAAGGTTTAAGAGACGTAGATTTATGTGAGGTAGAATTTTTTCTTTTAGCCCCCCATCTTTTATATATATATATAACAAAAATATGAGAATCATTGCTTTCTTGGATCAAAGAGAAAAGAAAGAATATAAGAAAACTTGGGAAATGAGGCATTGCATATTTGAAATTAGCAAGCAAGGGAAGGTTTCAAAAAGAGAAAAAAGGTGAATGATGGAAAAAGGCAAAAGGGTGATCTAGTATTAATCTGACACTTGGGAGCTGAAATATATATACTTTAATTGGATGGTGATACCTTTGGTACAATGTCATGGCTCTTTTGTGCTTTATTTTTCGGCACTGTTTATGGGACTGAACCAAAAGCTAAAGCTGATATACTATGGTATTGTACTTTGAGCCTTTTAGGGTAGTAATGAAGAATGCTGTCTCCATTCTATTCTTGTACCCATATGCCTACTCAGCACAAAACCGTTTTGTCTTTGTTTCAATAGAAAATATATATATAAAATCCTGAGGAATGCTTAGGAATCACGATTTCTTTTCTCAGAATATTGTGTATTTGAGCGATTACTGCCTTCTCTGACAAGAACTTGAATTGAATATGTGATTCTTATGCTACCTTGCCTTTAATGTTATCTCATACATTCCAAGCCGTCTCAAAGCTAATAAGGTTTTGCTTCCTTTATTTTTCTATAAAATATAAGATCTCGTGGACCAAGAATATTGAGTGTCCTAGGATGGTATTTGAATATAGATATTTTAGATTTTCTAACTTTAACATGTCTGGATCTTGTATTGGCTACTTTTAGGGGTTTAGGGGTTTAGATTTTTATTTTTTATGATATAAGAATTTTTTTAAAAAAAAATTAGAAATTAATTTTGTCTCACTTATTTGATTGGTAAAAAAAAGTAGAAAGAGACAAAAATAACTTTTCAATTGAATTATAATTATAATTATAGTAAATGACTATATTTTGGTATCTGAAATGGTGAAAGATATTATATTAATATATAAAACTAATAAAATATTAAATAAATGTTTAAAATATCAAACAAGTCAATAAATTTAGTCGTTTATGTTTGTATGAATATATATATATATATATATATATATCAATATTATCATTTTAGTTATATTTTTTTTCTTGTTTTTGGACTAATATGATCGTCAATTTGCACATTTAGATACTTATTTGACATTTTTTTTTACAATTTCATGAACTAATACGATGACCTCGTCCAATTAGATAATGACAACCCAAGAACAACAATAAAACATGAGTTAAGGCTTAAGTCTCTTCTTTAACATTAACTTCTCATTGATCATCACCTACAAATGGTGTTTAGCTTAAACACAAACAAACTAACTCACTACATACTCTTGGTACGAAACAAAGGTTGAGCAACACAGAGAAGACGAATCAAGTTAGAACACTTTAGATTAAAATAAACAACTTAGATTAAAAGATTACAAATAGTGATACAATGTTGTCATTATAGTTCTCTTTATCATTATTGTCCTCATCATCATTATTTCAACTGCTACAACCTTCACCTTTATCGCACTACCGCCACATCATCATTACCACCACGATCATCGTTGTTGCTGCTTCCATCACTACTATTGTTGTCATCACCTTCGTCGTCAACGATGGTAGTAATGACATCATTTGTGATAATGACAATGAAAGTAGTGGTCAGGTGGCGAAAATATAGTGAAGATAGAGGTGGTAACAATTGTAATATAGGTGATGAGGATAATAATGATAAAAAAAAGAGTTACAATGACAATAGTATGTGATAAATTCATTTGTAATATATTGATCTAAGTCATTTATTTTGATTTAAGGGTTGTTATTAGTTGTCCTTATGTTTTCATATTAACAAATGTTCTCACGAGAGTCACTCCTCATATATTTATGTGTGTGTGTATATATAAATGATTCACTTATTTCAAGAGTAAGTCTACATAAACTTACTTTAATCAATAATTCATGTTCTACATCAAATTTTGATGATCAAATCGTTAAATTAAAATTTTTAATGAATAAATTAAGACTGCAAAGTTTTAAAAAATTAGGAACACACACCCAGACAGATATCAAATACAAGTTATAATTAAAACATATAATTTATGTGTTTTAATGTAATTATGCTTATGGTGATCTAAAAAAATTTTTAGCCAAGACAACAAAATAGTCTTTAATATAGCTTTTAATATTTCTATGCAAAATTGAAACAAAAAAAAGTATACACAATAATTAAAAGCATATTAAAAAATATTCATAATCAATGGTAACTAACTTCTAATCCTAAGATTTGTCATGATATACATAGTTGAACTTCATATTTTTAGATTTGATTCTTATTTATATTAAAATAATATTTTAAAATACTATGTATAACATATGCATTGACAAAAAAAAAAATTTAATAACTAAAAAAACATAACTCTAGTAACATAAGATACAAAGAATCCTATTAAAAATTGTTATAAAAGGTTAATATTAAAATTTATAATAAATATTCTGTCATAAAATTATTATATATTAAAATTTATAATAAATAATATCCATGATATTTATTATATTAACATTAACTAAAAATTTGCATTTAAAAAATTATAATAGACTTTATATATTATGTTATATAATAAATTTTATATTAGGATATTAAAATAAATAAATATTACATCAATCAAATATTTTGAATTTGATATTAGAATAAAATTAAAATTAAAATAATTATTCTGTCTTAAAAGATTATTATAAATAAAAATTTGAATATTATATTCATTCTATATTAATTAAATATTTTTTATTTAAAAATTAAAACAAATATATTTATTATATTTTATAATATTTATACTTATGTATAAAGAAATACATCACTTTATAATATTTTTTTGTCTTTACATTACTTTTAAATATTTAAATAATAAAAAGTAATATTAATTCTTTTTTTACCACTCAAATAAGTTAATCATTCAAATTATTATTAAATTATTGATCACTTATTTTATTACTTAATCAATTTTTTTATTTTAGAATTTAAAATTTATTATTTATCTAAAAAATTTAAAGAAAAAATGAATTGTGTGGATTCTATTAGTATTTTATAACCAAGATATTAAAATAAACAAACACTTCTTAAAAAAAAAAAAAAAAAAACGAATAGTCGTTGGGATTAGGGTTGTGCATACCCACACACAAAGATACTCATTCCAACTGTGACCTTCTGTGATTTTTGCGGTGACCGCTGCAACAGCGAAGCACGATGACCCTTCGAGCAACCGCAGATTCCTTCTACAGGTCTCGATTAAGCTATCTCTTTTCGTTCGATTAATCGTTTTCCATATGCGATACTAATTCCCATTGTTTCGAATACACTCTCTATTATTTGCTGAAATTTGATGCAAATTATCAATTTTTGTGGGTCTCATTGCTTTTTCTATCTTCTCCACGTTCTCTGTTTCCCCATCATCGTTGATATGGAACCTCTGGAAAGCTTATCCACACTTTCCCTGTTTCACGAGTGACCTCATATTTGTGTGCTGGGTTTGCATTGAACTAGTTCTTGAATTTTGAGTTGCATAATTAATCAATTAATTATTGTGCACAATATGGCTATCTCCCAATATAAAAAATACTCTTATATTTGGAAATTGGGTCTCAGTCAAATGTGGCATATGGACAGTATTATGCTAGGTTAGTGACTCTCTGGGATCTTAAGGTTTAGGTTGGAAGATGATTGGTTTTGTGGGCACAATTTGCGTATTTTTTAACTGTTTCCCGAGTTCAAAAGTTTGCAACTTAGTAGCGTATACTGCACAGCTTTATGTAAACTGTGGAAATGCTAAGATTAGCAACCATAATTCAGGAATATTATAATTTATCATGCTATTTTATGTTAATTTCTTAATTTAATGCTTTTTTTTGTCTTTGGATTTTATGATGAATGTCGGAGCAAGTATGGAGATGTTGACACTTGATATTATACATGTTTTTTTACTATCTTACACTTTCTACAACTATAGATGGAACTAGCAAATGACTTTTTACTCTCTCCTTTCCTTCTCTCATTCCATTCCTTATGCCCATGTGTACAGTGCATGAGATTTTTCATTCTTTATTTTGAATTCTGTTTAAATAAAATTAAAGTCTTTTATTTGCTTTGGTTGACTCAGGTGCTTTGTGTTCATGGTGGCCTTTCTCTGAACATTTGAACGATTGATCAGGTTAACTAGCTTCCTTCTTATGGTAGCCTGTCATCTGGAAAGCTGTTTTTATTTAAAAGTCTAGCAAATGTATTTTGGACTGATATCTATGTCTTTTCAAATAAATATTTGCAATATTTCAACATTAACATTGTTCATGTGAGTTTACCCATCCGATCCATTTTGATTTATTGATGCATCATATGTTGGACTGATGTGTATATATGATATTCTTGTATTTTGGTATGTCTAGACATGTTTCACTATGTGAAGTGATTATTTAAATTGGCTTGCTTTTCATCCCTTTTGCCCCATTTCTTTCTAGGCTGTTGTATTTCATGTTCCTAACTTTTTACTGTTTAATTAATAATGTCGGATGTTTTTGTTTGACTTTAGAAATTCTTCTGTATTTCATTTTGTTATATTTATTTGATTAAATTGTTTGACTTTAGAAATCCTTCAGTATTTCATTTTGTTACATTTATTTGATTAAATTTTTTAGTTGTAACTAAATATGTGTCTTGAAGCAAAAAAGTCAAAGTTCTTGAATTTATTTTTCACATATGATCTATTTTATGTGATTATAATATTTCCACATATTAAATTGAGATTTTTTTACTATAGCAGTATTAGTAATTAAGATTTGTAGTTTAAATAGTTGGGCCTATTTAGGCTGATGGGCCTACTTAGACTAACAGGCTTGGTGGCCTATTTGTGTGACCAAGAAGTTGTAGTTTAAAAGTTGGGCCTTTATATTGCATTTCAAGTCAAGCTAAACTTTTAAATAAGATAATTCAGGTCTTAAGCAAAGGCCTGTGATAGGTAACCAGGCTGGACAGAGGCCTAACAAAACATAGCCTGCCCCATATCCATCCCTAAATTGTTTGTCTTTATTCATTTTGATTAAAAAATGTGTAACTAATGTCTATGCATATTTCTCTTACCTCTGCGTAATCTTCTCTTTGATTATTGGCTACCATCCGCTGCACAGTCATTTCTTGTGTGGATTATTAGGTTAAGGCTGGGTCTCAGCTCAGAGAGTGAAGCCCAAAGCATTGAAACTGGGATCATAGGATCATGGGATCTATGATTTTTTACAAGCCAATTTTTACTTATGCAGATGGGTTGTCTGAGCTTGGATTTTGCAACCTGATTTGCAAAACAACCCAAATCGTATGATTCCCTCAGTTGTGTCCTACTATCTCAATTTCTTCCTCTTCATGCTCAAATATGCCCCTCTCCTTGATCTGTTTCTCTACTCTCCACCTTGTGTTTGGGCTTTCTGACTTAGGCCATCTCTCTACTGGTATGAACACGGAAATGGATCGCCTTGAAGAATTCAGAATTGGAAATTGGATTTTAATTTTTCTTTAGAGAAAGATATTGACGCCGCACTAAAGAAAAACATGAGAAGGTTAATGATAGTCATAAGATTGATTGCCACAAGTTGTCTTGATAAGATCATATTCATATTTAGTTCTTTGCCCAAGAACCAAGTGAAACTCTCACAAAAGGAGAAAACAGAGATTCCATTCTAACTTGCTCTAGAACTATGAAGTGATCTCTATTTATGAGCTAAATATGGCTTTCCTCTAATCTTTCCACTAGGAATTTAATTCTCACTAAGAAGTGAATGCCTACTAACATTTCCACTAGGCATTAAATTCCCACTAGCATTAAGTTCCCACTAACCATCATAATGGTTTTTGAAGCCTAAAAGCTAAAAAATCTGTGCTAGAAAAGATGAAAAGTCATATGAACTTTCAAATAAAATAAAAAAAGAAAATTTCTTTTAAATAAGATAATGGACTTAATTATTCATTTCTGCCCAAAAACTAATTATACTCCATCACATGAATGTTTAATGTCTTGTTAATTTGGGCTTTTCATGTTGACTTCATGTTGGACTCAAATCTTCGTCAACTTAGATAATAGTCGCCCATTTTGGTGTAGCCCCTATTCCACTTGGTTCATCATTCTTTCATCTCCTCAATTAGGCCTTGCAAAGCTTGCTTCATCATCTTAGTCTTGGACCTTGTCATAGGACCTCCAATTTCACACAAAGGGTCTTTGAGTTGGCTGGTTAGTGTTTGTGCATTCTAACTTTGACCATCTCTCTACTCTCTTCCATCTCTTTCCACATTGTGACTTAGGCCACTCGCATTTGATCTTTCCCTCAAGTTTGGCAATCTCTGCCTCTGCCTTGTGTGCTGAATTTGGCCTTCTGCAACTGCATTCTGGTCTCTGCCTTAGGTTTTTTTGGCTTCAGCCATCTGCAACTCTGCCTCGTGTTCTGATTTCAGCCTCTCTGGTTATCTTGTCTTTATCTCTCTGTTCTGTGTTTTAGTACTTTCAGAGTTCTTATTATGACTTATATGTGAACTAATGGGTATGCATTTTCAATTTGAATTTACTAGTTTAGTTATGATTCAGAAGTTGCTTTTGTTATATGTTATTTTTTATGCATATGTATATAAGTATAATTTTGCATTTTCAGGGAGATCTTACAATCTGTGTTATAATCCTACGATTTATGATCTTCCACCCCCAATCCTAGTCCTAGGCAGGATTTCAATTATGACAATATTTGTGGTTTTCTTTTCGTTGATGCATATAATATCATTTGCTTGATGCTTAATGGTTGAAGACCAGCGATCAAATAAGTAAGGTGGTTTCCCTTGTCATGAATTATGTTAAACTTCTACATAGTTACACTACTCCACATTTACTTGCATCCACCAATTGTTCATGAATGAATAAACTGAAGTTTAGGATGTCTTGAAGTTTAGAATAAAGTGATGCTGAATTAAATTTAGTATATATTGGATGTTCCTTTGTACATGGTTTAGATGTTCTTGTAGTGGTTAACTCTTATTTAGCAAGCACAAAACAAAATTTTTTCTCCTTCTGCCAGTATTCTCCTGCTGTGATGGTATTGTACGAGGCTATGAATGCTTGTCTTCTGACTTATCAAATATGTGATGTTAAAAAATGTCTATGTATGTGCAGTTTCTTTATATAATCAATATCTGGAAATATACAAGCAAAGGACATGGAAAATCAGCCAAAACAAAACCAGCAAGCAACAAGTTCTGCATCTCCCATCCTGAAAAGTGAGGAAGATCAAGCAGCCAGCACTGCTATGGGCTGGAAGGATTCATTAGAAAAAAAATATCTAGAAGTCAAAGAGCACGCGGAAACATACCCGTATGTTTGGGCTTCATATATTGTTGTATATGGTGGCTTTGGTCTCTGGACTGCCTATAGATGGAGAAAGCTTCGTAAGACAGAAGACAGAGTAAGATCTCTTCAAGAAAGACTACGTAAGCTTGTAGAAGCTGAAGAATCTTCTAGTTCTACCAAAGTGGTTGAAAAGGGTTCTACATCTTCTGATAAGCCTTCCAAGTAGCTTACAGTATGAATAATCCTTCTTGTAGCCAGATTGTCTAGTTTACTTCTATCAATATCACTTCTGTTACCATTGTAGTCGCCTAGGGAATGTTATAATTTAATTATATTTGATCCACAAATCAACTAAATCATTAGAGGAAATTTTCAAAGTTTTATTGAGCTTTGTAGAAATTGTTAAAAATTATATTCTGATATTTTTCTTCCTAAAGTTGTGACAATATTATTTGACTGATTACTGTTTACAGATATCTTTAGTTTCAATATTGATTAGAGATGGACCAATGCCTCTTTTTTTTTTTTGTTAATTTTCGTGTGAAAAAATAATATCTAGTATGGTATCAAATCATTTTTTGTATATTGCATATGTTCTATACATTTGAGCTACATTTCAGATTCATGCATTATCAGTTGAACATTTTGTTGTATTTTCTCTTTTGCATAGTTTTCACATAATTGTATGAACTTACCTAATGATAAATTACTTATATTATCGACGTTACCTTACTACCAGTATTTTAATGTGTCTTACAATAGGTCTCACGGGATCACGTAATGATTGTAACAAAATACTAATCATCTATGTTAATTTGTGTAGCTTATTTTTAACCTTTTGGCTGGATAATGTAGCTTCAGAAATTTACTATTAGTATTTACAAATTTGTAGATGAACAGTGTTGAACTTGAATGTAATCCTAAGTAGCATAGGGTGACCCACAGATTTTTATATTTATTTTTATGCCATATCAACGTAATAATTTTCCCAGAGCCCCTCTCCTTCACACCTTGTAACTCCCAAGTAATATACTCTGATAAGTTCTTCAATATATGATCTGAAGGATGGGGAGACTTGGCTCCTCTCTATAGAGGAAACCATCTTAGCACAGAATAACAGAAACAATGACCGGAAAATAACAATGGTGATTCTGCAAATAATAAATCCAACCCTCCCATGTCATACAACATGTTTGCATTGGTAGTGTGTAGCTTGGATGCACGTCACTCAAATATTTTTTCTATGTGGATGTTGCAAAAATGTGGATGGTGGATGTTGAACCAAACACCATTAATTTCCTACTCCTC